ATAAACAAAGATCAATATCTCGTGATCTGAAAAGTAAGGTCACGCCGTATATGTCTTTCATCTCCCTTGTAACCTAGCCTTGCCTTTGTGATTTACAACAGCTCCAGTCTGTACAGTGCCGTCAGTAACACAATTTTAACTCAGGAATATTTTTGGATATCTGAAAATGTAAAATGTGTAATATTTCACCCGTATACCGGAGCAGAACTCACTTGCCTTTCCCCCAGTCCTTCCCTGCCCTCTCACTTCTTCAGCCTCGTTTTCCCGTTCTTCAAAGTACAAGATGACATAGCTATTTTTATATTTGATGTTATGTTTGTAGTGTGATACGATTATACCTTTGACCCGACCTGCAATAAAGTGGTAAAAACAATTTATTATATACATAGGGCTAAGAGTAGTACAAAATGATGGCGGATTTCTTATGTCATGTGGCTACTCTTCTCCTGTTTATCTCGTTACCCAACTCTGTACTGTCACATGGTTCGAAGAATTCTAAACCTCCTCACATTCTGTTCATCCTCGCGGATGATCTTGGCTGGAGCGATGTCGGCTTCCATGGCTCGGTCATAAAAACTCCAAACATCGACAAGCTGGCCAGTGAAGGAGTGATCTTGGATAATTACTACGTACTACCACTGTGTACACCAACAAGATCAGCTCTGATGACTGGAAGGTACCCCATACACACAGGTATTATTCTAATCGAATACTCCAAAAAGGAGTGATTTATGGGTTTTAGGGGTTTAATTAACCAGAATTTCTCAAATTTCTCCTACCGGTGATCCGTCGCAATCGTAATTCTTATGCTGAACCAGGATCCGCCATGCAGTTCAGGCCTTTATCGCCTGAAGTACTTGCCTAATTTAAATTATTTTTCTGAATCACAGTTTTCGTAATTTTGTCTAAAATTGGTACTGCAAGGATTGGTCCGAAAATACTTAGTCGGTATAAAAATTTGTCCCAAAATTTGTAAATATATATGGGTTATTGACCTAGACTACGAGTAGTCCCTCTTTCGCTTAGTCTGTCGTGCGTTACGCGAAAGAAAACTGCGAGAAAAAAATGGCCGCTCGAAATCCTGGGGGTGAGGAGCGCGCAAGATTTCGCGCGGCCATTTTTTCCTCGCAAATTTCTTTCGCGTCACGCACGACAGACTAAGCGAAAGAGGGTCTACTCGTAGTCTATTATTGACCAAGCTGGTTCGGTCAAAATGGCTGGATATTGGCCAAGCTATTTTTTTTTGCGTCAAGTTTATGGACCGAGCCGGAGTCGAGGTATATAAACTCGTAGTAAAAAGAACGGTGCAATATCCAGCTATCTTGACCGAACCCCTTTAACAAGCTTGGTCAATAAAAGATTTTTTATTCGGCTTTCGGGAAAATTTTTCATTCGGGATACAGCGGGTAATCCCGAACGGGCAAGATTGCGCCATCTAGTGCCCGCTGGGGTAGCCAATAACAATTTTTAGACTTCCGTGACGGAGAAGAGCCTGCAAGACACTGGAATGGTACTTACGCCATGTATGCATACAGGAAGGTGACTTGTTTTTACTGCAATTCCCTTTATGAAGGTTGCAACTGTAAGTATTGTATGCAAGCATTAAGTCTTATAACTGCAGGTAGTTGCAATCTTATTGCAGACCAGATTTAACTACATATCCGTCTGCCGGAGGTGTCCTCCTTGCAGCAAAATAAGTAAGCACTCTGAGGTACGAGAAGAAGGCATGATTGGGGACTCCGATTGTAACTCCTGAATTTTCTTTAGAGAGGCGTTCCTTTTCGGACAAATTTTCACCTAAAAGAATTCGCTGGTAAAAAGGCCAAGACTGTAAAGTTTNAAAACACAGTGGGTTCCCTCAGCGTTCATTTAGCAAACCCAAGTTTCATCCTTTACATTTGCAAGATAATCTCTTGACGTATTAAAGTGAATATATGAAAGACCATATATTTGAGCTGCTTAAGTTCTTTGTACAACTGCGATGATCAATCATATCTTCATATAATCTCTTGACATTCGTTAGAAAAAGAATTTCCAAAATATTTGGTCTATGACTTCATTATACTTACTTTCTGGCGGTATGACATCGTTTTCTCTGCCATTCTTTAGGGGATGGCATTACGCACCCACAGCATAATTCTTAAATCAATGGGAATTTTAACAACGCGTCTCTTGTTGTAGGTTATGCCACTCACTTGGTAGGCAAGTGGCATCTTGGTTCATACAAGTGGCCTTATGTTCCAACAAAAAGAGGGTTTGACTCGTTTTTTGGATTCTGGAGTGGAGCAGAGGATCATTATAATCACTCAGTTGAAGGATTTTTAGACTTCCGTGACGGAGAAGAGCCTGCAAGACACTGGAATGGTACTTACGCCATGTATGCATACACGAAGGTAACTTGTTTTTACTGCAATTCCCTTTACGAACGTTGCAACTGTAAGTATTGAATGCAAGCATTAAGTCTTATAACTGCAGGTAGCTGCAATCTTATTGCAGACCAGATTTAACTACATATCCGTCTGCCGGAGGTGTCCGCCTTGCAGCAAAATAAGTAAGCACTTTGAGGTACGAGTAGAAGGCATGATTGGGGACTCCGATTGTAACTCCTGAATTTTCTTTAGAGAGGCGTTCCTTTTCGGACAAATTTTCACCTAAAAGAATTCGCTGGTAAAAAGGCCAAGACTGTAAAGTTTTCCTGTAGTGATTTGCGTGTTGCAGTAAGTAAGACTTTGAAGCTGAAGATAAGTGAAACCCAATTAGTACAACAATGCTAAGTAAATTGGACATTTTTTTAGTTCTTTTTTAAGATAATTAAGACGATCCTTCTATACACTGTTGCAGTAGACCTACCCATCCCCCACACCCACCGTCTCCATTTCCCATAGACTAATAACAAGATGTATTAGAAACGTCTTTTGTGTTTAATATTTTCAGAGGATGGAGGAAATTGTAAAGTCACATGATCCAGAGCAGCCCCTGTTCATGTACATGGCCTTTCAAAACGTTCATTCTCCAGTCCAAGCGCCTCAGCAGTATGTTGATAAATATAGATTTATCAAAGACGATCTTAGGAGACATTACGCTGGTATGGTAGACATCTTGGATGAGGCAGTGGGAAACATTACCAAGGTTTTCACCTCAGCAGGGTATGCTTCGAGGAAAATTTGAATGTATAACGAGTTTTTGAATAACTATTATGGGGCCGATTCTTCGATGGCGAATTTGATGGAAATAAGAACGCTATGCAAGCTGTTGGACATCGCAAACCTCCGAACATGTATGTTTAGTACAAAAAACAGGCTCTACTGCCGTGAAAGCAAACTTAAAACCCTCGGCACGTATTTTAGAGATCCTGATTTTTTCTAGAAATCTTACTAAAGCTGTGTCTGTTCGCAGGTTGTGGAATGACACACTTGTTATCTTTAGTACGGACAACGGGGGTTTACCTACTAATGGAGGGTTTAACTGGCCACTTCGTGGAACAAAACACACTATTTGGGAGGGAGGGGCTAAAGGGGTCGGATTTGTCTATGGTAACTTACTGAAACGAAGAGGTGTGAGGAGCGCGGAGGTGTTGCACGTGACAGATTGGTACCCAACTCTCATCAACCTGGCAGGTACGCGGTACGCAAGGAATTTTGCGCGTAGCTCGCGAAATTGTCTTACAGCGGACACTGTTTTATGAAAAGATGAACATAAAACATCATTTTTATATCAGTCCCCATCCCCAAAATGGACACTGTTTACAAGCCTTTGAAAAATCACTAGATGTATTTTTATTTTTAAATGGAGTGCCTTTTATCTATTAAGAATTAACATATTATCTTTGTAGCGTTTGCAGTGCGCTTGATATTCGGTAGAAATTCCCGCCATTGCGTGGAGCGGCTAGGCCAACTGTGATTGGACGATTTGAAATTAAAGTTGAGTTTTGAAGGTTTAGTTCAAGCCATGCTTTGTTTAAAACTGGGTTGCGACTGCGTCATGGAAAACTTGTTTTTAATGCGATGTACATACAGTGAAAGCCCTCGCTGTGAGCGGACACCCTTGGGACGCGAAAAAACTGTCCGTAACTTACGAGAACAGTTCTCGTAAAATGGCCGTCTGCGGGAGCTTGCCCATTGGGAATGCAGAATATCGCCAAATTGTTGTTATTTGTTTTGTTTTATTGCCGCGATAATAGCAATCACTGCATGTATGCAGTACTGCATACCGCAGCGCTAGGACTGGCCCTCAGTGATTGAAGAACAAATCATAATTGCAGTCAGCATTAACATTAGCATTAACAGTCTCACTCTAACAAAACGCAGCGATACAGTTTACAAATGTTGATAAGTATCTTTCAAAGTCAGGTCCAATTCCTTTAAGGTGTCCGTTTACGGGAGCTTACAAACAAAGTAAAAGTCTAGCTCGTAAGCCCTCAAAGTGTCTTCGGCCGCTTATGAGAATGTCCGCTTAGGGGAATAAGTATAAATACAGAGTTTGCACGAAAGTTCAAACAGGGTTTTGTGAACGCGGCCGTTAATAGAGCTGTCTGCTTACGAGAGTGTCCGTTAAGAGAGCTTCCACTGTAGTTTCCAACTTAATTTGTGTCTTGATATATATAACATTGACTGATTTGACATACTGAAGACTTCAAAAGACGACAGGCCGTGTTTTTGGACTGATAATGTCCTATAACCACTCTTTTGTAACTCAGAGAAATTTGTTTGTGTAGCATTCCAAGTTTGTTTATTTTTCGCTGTTAGGAGGAAGCTTCGATCCTAAACATCCCAAACCTGTTGACGGTTTTGATGTTTGGGAGACAATCTCGTCTGGTAAACCCTCGCCAAGAAATGAAGTTCTCATAAACATCGATACCACCCAAGGGTCCGCATTGCGTGTGGGGCAGATGAAGATACTGTTAAACGTTCCCAATGTCACGTGGTTTAAGCCACCCGAACTGGAAGAGAGGCTCAATGATCGAGAGACTGGGTTACAGTTAATTGAGGACGATCACAATAGAGAAATTTTGTTGTTGGTACGTTTATTTTTGTTTTTAAACTAATAGAGTTTGGTAGTTGCAAAATTTAAAGTGCTGGACTGAAGTTGTTTCAGTAACGGAAAGTAAGGGAGGGCTTAAAGATTGGAGTGATATTCTATCGGTACTGCTTGCTCTACCAGATGAAATGAATAATAATAAATACCTATAATAGCTTAATAGACCCTTAATAGTTTCTTCCTGAATTGATGTAGGATCATGTCGCCAAACAAGACAGGATTGAAGTCGCTCTTTACAATTTAACCGCTGACCCTGATGAGCGCAACGACTTGAGCAGCAAGTACCTGGATGTAGTTCAGAAACTAAGAGAAAGAATGGCGTATTATGTAAGGAGCGCAGTCAAACCACTCAACAAGCCACATGATCCAGAGGCGAGAGAGGCTGCTGAAAAAAACGATTGTTGGGGTCCCTGGTAAAGGACGGATCATCCGGCGGCGCGCGGCAAATGATACCACTCTTGTTTAGACCGCAATAATCTTTGTCATGTAACAACTCGGTTTATTAAGAAAATAAGTAAAATTGAAATTCTCAATTTCTTCCACGTGTGAAATGTGTGACAATTTAATTATTTCACAAAGCAGCTGTTTGTGATTCACTTGCTAATTCAATTGTTGATTTCCGTGCAGTGGCAAATCTTGACACTGATTGGGAATCTTGACTGCAAGTTCTTGGGCTGTCGACCACGATGAGAAAGACCAAAGCACTTAACAAAAGTTCCATTGTTCTCATGGCTGTCTGTATGGCGAACCAAGGCCAGCTTTTAGCGTAGTTCTTTGCGGTGAAAACTCCAAACTCTCCAATGCTTACATATAAAGATACGGAAAAGTTACAGACACCAAAAATTGACGCCACACTCATAAAAACAAACAGTCGCTTTAGTTTTTTCATATCCCGAATTGAATATTGATTATTTGAGCTACAAGATTGCAGAGTCGACCCGAGATTGCGCCACATCCTGACGCCTGCGACAAAATAGCCAACAAAAATGGCTAACCCCCAAGTGGCCAGAGTAGTGTGACATACAAAAATCATGACTTTAGCTTTTGGATAAAACCACACAACGAGATCAGACAAAATCAGGTAAACAATGTTCGCAACAGTAATCGAAACTAAGAGAGGTAAGTTTCGAAGTTTCGGTGGTCCCAGCTTAGTTTTAGTGGTTTCCAAGAAGATTAAAAGCATTATGCTGAAAGCCGAGGTCATACACGCTGTGGCGATTCCCCAAGAAGTCAAAAGAACTAAGTTCTGAATCACTGATGTAGATTCGCCCGAAGCGTAAGGGTCCCAGAAGAGCGCGAGGCATCGCCCGAATCCCGCAGCCATCAA